CCGGGCATCCCTTCCGGGGCCGGTTTTCAATGGCAGCGGCAGAGTGCCAGGTTTCCGCGGCCTTTCTCAGTGGCACGGCAGAGCCCGGGCGCTTGGCGAGGAGAAGCGAGGAGCAGGGGGAGGGAAGGGGGAGAGGAGACGGAGCTGGGAGCTGTTAACAGATTTGCTTTTTATGGAGTGCGGGAGTTCATTAGTGGACACAGTCCAGATGGCTGCAATAAGCTGGTGAAATGTGATCCTCCTCCGGGAGCGGGAGCGCTAGCCAGGCTGCGAGAGGGAAGGGGGGTTGGTATTCCCGGGCATTCCCCAGACATACCCCTCATTCCTCACCCTCTCCCGCCTGCCTCCCCAGCGCCGGGGAAGAGCAGGTCATGGGGACCAACCTTTGTCTCCTCTCCTCAGGGGGCTGGTGACGGTCAGGGATGGTCTCTGTCCTGGCCCGCACGTGGGGCCAGTGGCCCTTCAGGGGACAGCTTCCAGCCCTGCAGCAAAGTCGGGCTCCTCGGGAGCATGCTTTTGCTCCGTGGCAAGCACCTGGGCATTTGGCTACCGCCTACCTCGGGGCTTGGCTGCAGGTTCTGCTGGACCCAGCTGCAGCCACCTTTTCAGTGGGGGAATGGGGGCACCTTTGGGTGCCGAGGCAGCATTTAAGCAGTGCTCGGCGCTCTGACATCTTTTGCCTCCCCTACGCAGGGAGACACGCCCAAGCACCGGGCTGAGAAAGCCAACGACCCCGACTTAGCTGCCTACCTCGAGAACCGACAGCACTACCAGATGATCCAGCGGGAGGACCAGGAGACAGCTGTGTAGCGCTCGGCGTGCCTTAGCCCAAGCCAGCTCGGGCAGGACGAGAAGAGGATGATGGCAACTGGCAGAGCTGTGAGTCTGGCCCAGCCCTCCCTAGATGTCAACCCGGTCCCCGGAGGAGATGGAGACAGCAGAGCTTTGCCCCAGGCTGGGCTGGGACTCTGTTTATGAGGACAGTGGGTATTTGGGACTTGAAGCCTTGCTCTTTGTGTGTCCCCCCGCTTTGCCCCTCATCCACCACATTCTCGCCCTGGATGGGCTCCATCCCGCAGCCCTGTTGGGGCAGGCCAGGCTGAAGCCCCGGGTCACCCTTGTGCACGGGAGTGATGCCAGTGCCCCCTCCGCAGGCTCCTACCTATGATCCTTGTGGGATATCGTTCCTCACCCCCTCTCCCTGCCGGCAGTGCCCCTCCTTTAGATGCTTGGCTAGGTTCATGTTCCTGTTCCTCCTCTCCTGTCTGGCACAGCCGCAGGAGGCACAGGCTGTGCGGGCAGACAGCAGAGGCCGTGAGCCTCAGACTTTGCCCCAAGGGAAGCACCCTGACTTACTGCCTCTGCCTCCTCCTCCCTTCCGTCGGTTTGGGGCTGCCCCGGGTCTCTGCATTGCCCTACCGGGGCCTTCTGCGGCAGGAGGGAAGTCCCTGGCGCACCCAGCCTTTCCTCAG